CAGCAGTGCGGTGGGGGGGAGGGGAAGTGGATCCAGTGCTTTTAAGCCAGCTCCCGCTCCCCTTGCTGCCTCTGATGTAGAGGCAGCAAGTGGGGGGGATGCATGTAGTCAGCAAGATTAACCAACAAGCCTAGGCGTATCGGTTCATCGTACAGTCATTTACACAATGACATCCCTATTGAGGGGGGCCCACGGGTAACTTGCCTGGGTTCCAAGAACTGCACCTCGTTTGCATACATATTTACATACTATTCAAATAAAGGAGCCCGACCCGAACCTTCATTTTGACTTTCATTGTAATCCCTTCGATGGCAATTGTCTGTGGATTGAGTGCGCCAGGCCTCTAGCTCTTCTGCTATAGCCGGACCACAAGCTGCGTTTTACTCCTGGGGGGCCACGCAGACCGCACACCACCCTGGCCAGCTGTGGGCTTCTGGCCTGCTCCTGTGCTGTAGCTAATTTGCAGGCCAGAGGATCTGTCATTGCTTGAAACGCCGCGAGGATACGTCGCATCATCCCTGGCACAGGTTGGACCTCTCTGGTCTGACACCCTGGGGCCTGAACGAGGGATTTTGCTGGACTGGGGAATTCATTTCTGGCCCCCAGAAAGGCTCCTCCTGGTCTGGCTGCCAACTCCCCCCCTGGCCCCCAGCCGTACCGGCTCTGCCAGGCTGACCCGCGGCTCCCAGCCCCACCAGTCCTGCCACCGTGGCTCCTGGCCCCACCAGGGCAGACCACTATCCTGCCGGAGTCCTCCGGTGCTCCAAGCGCCCTGCTGCCAGCTCAGACAGACTCCCGCAAGTCTGGGGGGGCTCCTGGCCGCCTTTCCCCCTGCGCCAGCCCAACTGGGCCTCCAGTCCTCCACCGGGACTCCCTGATCCAGCAACACCTGTAGTCCAGCCAGTCCCAGTTTCAGTCTGTGGGAAGGAAAGGGCTGTGCAAGGAATACTGAGATGCAGCCACTTCTGGGGTGGATCCAACAGCTGTTTAACAGAGCACAGGAACACCCCTGGCTGGTTAGGACAGGAAGTGAAGACTAACATCCCGTAGAAGCCACAGGGCAGACAAGGGGTAGGCATAACAACCAGAGGGCAGTGTCAGGTCACTGAGGGTAACTCCAGCTCTTACACCAAGTACCAGGAGATCTTTGAGTGACAAGTGGTCAGGGCTGGAGGGTTCAGTCTTGTCCAACAGACACAATCTTTGTATTTTTACACAGCACCTCGAGGCAACGCCCATCATCCCCCCCCCCCCCCCCCCCCCGCTGTGTTAGCCATTGGGGTATAAAATTGGAGGATGCATCTTCATCATGTGCTAGGACATTTTAAATTCCATCCGGGAGACTGAGACAGGAAACTGGCCCCCCAGAGTTTCTACATCTCAACCCAGACTCCCCCAAGTGGCTCAGAAAGACCCATACCTGGGTGGCTCAACATGCAGGCTGCACCGGAAAACCGGTCGGACTATACAGACACTGAGGATTTACCCTCAGCCGGTCCCCTACCCCCCAACCTCTTCTCTCTCTCTTTACTCCTGCGACACACAGTGCTGCAAGTACACTCCGCTACAGCGGGGTTCGCCAGGCCCCGGCGGCAGGCCTGAGGTGAATGGAGCCTGCGGGGCTCACACAGCGTGCGTTCCCTACAGCCCACCTTCAAATCAGAAAAACGATCGCCCCGCTTGTAAGGAGGAGGAAGCCGATTCCGATCACAAAGCAAGTCTCTGCCACCTCTCTTCTCAGCCAGCAGCAATTACAGCTGCGTACCTACGCCGAGTCCGGGGCAATCGCTGTATGGCGCTAGGTCAACGAAGGCACCGGCCCCTGCTGGTTACTGATTCCTGCTACCAGGCTGGAGCCGTGGAAGATGAGCCGCCCCCGCTTGTAAGGAGGAGGAAGCCGATTCCGATCACAAAGCAAGTCTCTGCCACCTCTCTTCTCAGCCAGCAGCAATTACAGCTGCGTACCTACGCCGAGTCCGGGGCAATCGCTGTATGGCGCTAGGTCAACGAAGGCACCGGCCCCTGCTGGTTACTGATTCCTGCTACCAGGCTGGAGCCGTGGAAGATGAGCCGCCCCTGCTTGTAGAGCGAAGTAACGAGCGCCCCGCGGCAGGGAGGGAAAGGGCAATGAGGGAGGTGAGCCAGGGTCTGCCACTGGCCAAGTCCTGCAGGGTAGCGTTTGGCTTAGGAGCCGAGTCCCATCAGATTTCAATGGGGCCTCTTCAGAATGTGACCCTCACTTCTCTGCATCTCCGTTTGCCCGGCAGTACAATGGGACGGAAGCGCCCCACCTCCTGCAGGATGGGTATGCGTGTAAACTCGGGCTCTTGGGTGCCGGGCTCAGGGGCCATGCCATGGACGGATACCCACGTCCCGGGTCCTGCGAGGCTGCAGTTCTCATCTGCAAGGGATCAGCCCAGCCACATTTCAGCTACCGGGTGTAGCCAGCTGGCTAAGTGCTGCTGCCCTTATTCACGGGCGACTCCTTTGGCTTCTCTGGGAGTTTTCATTCCTGATGAGCCAGACCTTGGAGCTCTTAGGTCAGATCTGCCAGAGAAGCCAAGGGAATTCTGCTGACCTTGCCCCAGCAGGGTGTGGGTCAGCAGCCAGACAACCTCCCTGCGGGCAGAGCAGCAGTAACACACCCCGGCTCTGCCAGGGTGCTGGGTAGCTGGAGACCTGCCCCGCCCCGACTGGCGATGCAGCTGCACAGACACACCACTGCCGTACATTTAATACTTACAAAAAGGGAGTGATATTTAAAGGTATAAAAAGGACGGTAGGAAAAGCAGCCCAGGCTGAGCTGCTAAGACAAACGACCAGCAGCGAAGACGAGTCTAAGTCAAGAGAGCAGCGACTCCACTTTCACCCTCTTGGCTGCTACGGGACCGCGGTCTGAGCCAGGACACTCCTGTTTCAGACTGTCCCAGTGCTCCTTGCGTGAGGGCCCGCGCTCCGGGCAAGCCCCGTCGGCCTCCTCCGTCGTGCCGTTGTGGTGGGAGCAGGGCTCTTCCTTGGCCGGGCGCGGAGCCTCTGGGTCGAGTTTTAGGGGTGGTTCGGGCTTCACAAGCGCAGAACTCTCCACCACCGCCGGCCCCGTCCACTCGGGGATCTCCAGACCGAGCTGCTTCATCAGCTTTGTCATGACTTCGTCCACGTAGCCATGGATGCGCAGGTCGGCTTGCCTGTCCTGGGGCCAAGAGACAGGAAAAAGGGTCATGGAGCTGGCGTCTCTCCAGCCTTACTGCTCACGTGTGCATCCAGAGGGCAGGAGCCTTGGAGCGCTACCACCCCGGCCACGATCCAGCCCACCTCTGGATCACCAGCCAACAGTTTCCTGGTTGCCTTGATAGAGGAAACTGGGGAACCCCTTTTACTAGAGAAGCCCCAAGTGCAGCTTGGGGGCTGCAGACCCCTAACATGCGGCTGCTCTCTGCCTCTTACTAGAGGCCTAGGACACAGCTGAGCAGCCTCGGGGGAAGTCCAAACTCCAAGTAATTTGAGAGCTCTCTCTCAAGGGACCTCTGACTCTCAGGATTTTGCTCTGGTTTTCAAAGGCCGTGGGTGTGGGTGTTAATTGCAATGCCTAGCAATTTGCCTCACACCTTGGACTAATTCTCAGCTCTGCACTGACCAGTGATAGAAATGTAGCCGTGTTAGTCTGGTGTAGCTGAAACAAAACACAGGACTATGTAGCACTTTAAAGACTAACAAGATGGTTTATTAGGTGATGGTTGTGACAATTTTCTTCCACTATTTGATCTGAGGAAGTGGGTCTGGCCCATGAAAGCTCATCACCTAATAAACCATCTTGTTAGTCTTTAAAGTGCTGCATAGTCCTGTTTTTTGTTTCTGCACTGACCAGGCAGCATGTGAGACAGATTCCAATTATCTTGATGCAGAAATAAGGGGGGAGTTGGCAGTGTAAAGAGGCAGGATTATGCCTCCTGTAGTTTAAGACACCAGTATCTGGGCAGATTTCACGAACGTGAAATGTTCAGTATCACCTTCTAGACAGCTAGAAATGTGGAGCCTTTCAGCCCTGATGTGAAAAGGTCCAGGAGCGACACATTTTCATTAACGATCCAGATGAGGTTTGCACCCTCAGCAAGCTCACAGACGATGCTAAGCTGGAGAGAGGTAGATACGCTGGAGGGCAGGGATAGAGTGCAAAGTGACCTAGACAAATTGGAGGATTGGGCCACAAGAAATCTGATGAGGTTCAACAAGGACAAGTGCAGAGTCCTGCACTTGGGACGGAAGAATCCCAAGCATTGTTACATGCTGGGGACCAACCAGTTAAGTAGTAGTTCTGCAGAAAAGGACCTGGGGGTTACAGTGGATGAGAAGCTGGATATGAGTCAACAGTGTGCCCTTGTAGCCAAGAAGGCTAATGGCATATTAGGGGGCATTAGGAGGAGCACTGCCAGCAGATCCAGAGATGTGATTATTCCCCTTTATTTAGCACTTGGAAAGAAAAAAAGAAAAATGAAAACAAACTGTAATTTCTGATAGCTGTCCTCTTAGTCTTAGGCAGGTATACACAGACCTCCTATTACTTTCCAGGATACAAAATCAGATCATAGCCTTAAAATAGGTGATTATATTAAGAAAACAAAAAGGTATTCATTTGTAAAGCTGACTTGGCTGCTAGGAGTTATAGCGCAACTGAGAAAAGAACAGATTAAAACACAGACAATTGCATCCCTGGGATTCAGTTTAAAGTTATAGTGGGGAGAGGAGGGGATATGGATTTAGCACAGAGGAGTTTAACCAAACAACAAAACAAAAAAATAACCTGATCGCATCTAAATAAACATTCTCTATCTACTCAAGTATCCACACTTCCAAGGTCCAGTCCAATTCTAGGCCCAGGTATTCTTTTTTTTAGGCATGATGTCCCTGCCCAGTTCAATTCATCCCCCCCCTCATCCCCTTCCACAGCTCCAGGATTAAACTCACAAAGAAAAACAGCAGACAGATTCCCTTTTAATGCAGATCTGAACTCTTTCTTCTCACTGGTGCTCCTGGCTCCCTGCCAACACTTTCTAGCTAGCTAGGTTTAACCCTTTAGTCACTGAATACTGGGATGTTCAGAAAAGAACAGTGGGCCTCCCATCCATCACAGAAGCGTTACAGTGGCCGAGAAGTGGGACAGGAGTGCGCCCTTGTAGCCACAAGGACTAATGGCATATTGGGCTCCAGTAGTAGGAGCACTGCCAGCCAACTGAGGGAAGTGATTATTCCCCTCTAGTCGTCATTGGTGAGGCCAAACTGGAGTACTGTGTCCAGTTTGGGGCCCCCTCACTACAGAAAGGACGTGGACGCATTGGAGAGACCACAGCAGAGGGCAACAAAAGGGATGAGGGGGCTGGAGCATATGACTTATGAGGAGAGCCTGAAGGGACTGGGCTTATTTAGACTGTAGAAAATAGGGGGGGGGATTTGATAGCACACGAAAGGGGGGGTCCAAAGAGGATGGCGAGAGGCTGTTCTCAGCGGCGGAAGACAACAGAACGAGGAGCGATGGTCTCAAGTTACAGCCGGGGAGGTCTAGGTTGGATATTAGGAAAACGATTTCCCGAGGAAGGTGTGAAGCCCTGGGATGGGTTCCCCAGGGAGGGGATGGAATCTCCGTCCTTAGAGGTATTTAAGTTCTGTCTTCACAACGTCCTGGCTGGGTTGATTTAGTTGGGGTTGCTCTGGTTTTGAGCAGGGGGTTGGACCAGATGACCTCCTGAGGCCTCTTCCAACTCTAATCTTCTGATTCTATGGAGGCCGGACAGCACAGAATAACCCATTTAACACATACTGGGCTTCGGGCAGGCCAATGTCACAAACATCCCCATGTTTCTGGTAAGAGGTCCTACGGGTCTCTATTTCCGGAGGGGACGGGTGGGAACTCGGAGTTGGGAAACACATTGAGACGGACGGGTTGAATCACCAAGAGTTCTGCAGAGTCTCCTGCCTAGGACAGGGACTAGATGATCGGAGCAGGTTTTTTACGTCTGTCCTTGATGCATTTGGACAGTCTGGGAAACAAACTGCCTTGGTTGTTTAGGATTCTAGCAATCAGGGTAATTGAGGGAGGTCAGAACATACATAATTTGGTCAAATTCCATCGGCTCACACCAGGACTTAACTCCTGGGAAGTTCATTAATACGCCGGATCGCAATTCACCTTGGGATACCTGAGGGGGTTTTGATCCCACCAGGATTATTTTGATTCACAGCCCTAAGGTCGTGAGCAATGGGGACCCAACCTGTTTACTTACTGAACTAGGTTGATTTCCTCTAGTCGGCATCATCCCGCCTGGCTCCCAGACTGACTCGTTTTTGCAGGATTCAATCAAGCATCCACAAGTACCGAGTACTACGGCTGGAATAAAATCCAGGCCTGTCAGACTTCCACTGGGCAGCTCTGCGCTCACAGGGCCGGCCAAAGCATGTGAACTCACGTGCTTCGTTGCTTGCAGATTCACGATCACCAGCTTCCCTCCTTTCCTTTTCGTGAGCAGGGGGAGGTTGCCACTCGGTTTGATCTGAAGAGAGGTCCCCAGCGTGACTGACAGGTCGGCTTTCCTGTGGGCAGAAAAGAGACTTGCAAGCCCATAAAGGGAACAGAGCCGGCCTCAATGGCTGAAGTCACCGGCTCTAAGATGACAGAAGGCCAGGGGCCCAGCCAGACGCTACCCATTGGTCTTACTGTCCCTCCGACGAGACTCATGCCACAAGTATTCTCATAAACTGCATCTCAACTTCATTCAAAATGGGAGCCTGTGAAATCTAGGGACGTTAAAAACTGGCATTTGCTTATCGGATAGTCTGTCGACTAGTTGATTTCTCCCCTCCCCTTTTGCTGCCTCTATAATATAG